ATAAAAGAAAAAGACAAGATCAAGCTCATTCTTTATTACATATTTTATTTAATCTTCAAAAGGTCTCCCTTCTTTCCCAATTGTATGTTCTTTCTTTGGCCTGGCCAAGATTTTGACCATAATCCACTACCCGTGGAAAACTATAAAATGTGCAAAATGTAATGTGATTAAAGAGATAATATTCAACATTGAAGTTTAAAATCAAATGATTTATTTTATATAAAAAAATCAAACCAAGTGTTGTTTAACATAATCTAATAATGCAATGGACAGCTTAATGCATTATCAAAATACACAATAATGTTGATGATAGCAAGAATAACAAAATTTAAGTTTTTATCAATATATATGTAAACATATATAAACATCAAATATATGTGTGGGAGAAAAAAACATGTCACATAATTGTACATGGAAGGACTTAAAGTAAGCTTACTTATACCCTCTTGGCTTCTACTATACTCTGCTTCATAGATCAAGGCCTTTATGGAAGGAAACTGCTGGGAGTTCCGGACTTTGGTCTTAATTTGATTTAGCTGTGAAAATATTCTTTCAGCATCCGCATTCGAAGTAGGAAGTGAAAGTACCTGCATGGCAAACTTGTACAAATTAAAAAACTTCTTGTTCGACTCTTGGTCGACTGCCTGGCCTACTGCATTGTAAAATGCAATTGCATCACGAGTTTGTAAACTTCTATCAAATTTATGCCATGGCAGTTGTCGCCATTCCTCGGTCAGTGAACCGGAGTCAGCACAAATTCTGGGGAGAAATTCCGAGAGCTCCTGGAGAGATGGAATGGGGACTCAGTTGATGATCTATTGCTTTCGTTGGATTTAAGGCAGCCGCCTTCTTCCATAATTTGTTATCGACCGGGAATCTCCGTATTAGTTCTATGGACAGACAAATTAAAAATTGTCTGCAGTGTGCTCTTACATCAGGGATTAAGTTTGTAGTATTGATGATTTCCGGCCTCTGTAAAAGTGAATTTACGCCAGGTCCCAACCAAATCTGAGGTAGAGGCAGATGGTTCCGTGGATCCCTGACGTCTATGCCTTACAATGGTCCCCTCTTCACGATTTCTGGCTTGCAAAACATGAGTAAGACGTCTCTATTCAAATCATTTATCATTTAGAGCAAGTGAATCGTTGGCCCTTGTCTCTGAAATAACAGATTGACGGTATTGGATTTTGGCAATATTAAATCCATAAAAGTTAAATAGTAAATGGAGTAGTCATTATACATATTGATAAAATCGTCAATGGCCAGAAGACTGTTCTAGTAGCCGCGAGACAACTTGATGAAGTGACAGCCACCTGGTTTGAGAAATGTGCAATAATTTATGAGGCATGATAAATAAATTTTGAAAATCTCAAAATTCATTCTCGCTCTTGGAGCTGTGAGAAAAAGAGGGTATAAACATTTCTTAAGAGGTCGTCGCATTGCCGTGGTAGCGTCTTGGCTGCTTCTGATGCACATAAATGCATTGAGTGACCTATGCACTTAAAGATGGTTATACCAAGTATGGCTGCCATCAGTCTACTTACGAGAGAATTTTTAGCTCCCATGATGTTTGCCACGTGGTCTTTTAAACATTTCATTATCAATGAATACGGTTTTTCTCCTGTGGATCCAACGTTATCATCTTCATATATGTTTAAGATGTCAAGCAAGTTACTTTTATCTGCCTGTCCTCCTCACCGAAGTACTTTACGAGAACAGCTAAGCATTTCATAGTACTGATGTCAGTGGTCTCAACTATTATTATAGAGAATTTATTCATTTGTTTTTTGGCCAAATCTTCACTCACAGCCTTACCGAGCGATTTCATCATCTCGTTAAACTTCGTCCTCTTTATATTCATATCCTGATTAATGTCTGAATCAGGGAACATACGTTTGACCAGGTCAACGAGAGGCTCTGCGAGGGTAAATGGCGTTATGTTCAGCCATGAAGCAGCATAAAAGTATAGTTGTAAAGCCAGCCGCACTAATGGACTGGCAAAGCAATTCAGGGGCTGCCGGAAGTGGCTTATTTCTCCAGTTCGCCCTGGTCTGGTTGGCGACATGTGTTCTGGTTATGGCGTGCCTCCTTAGCGTCGAAATCTCAGCACCCAGGGTAATCTTGCACAGTGTACAGTGTGCCTTCCTAATATCGTCGTCCACGCGTGCTAGCCAGAACTCGAACTCTGACTTCGTCAACCAACCATCTGCGAACTTCATCCTGGATGACATTTGGACCTGCAAATAGTTAGAAATATTGTTATATTAGTAAACCTAATGGGTCTCATGTTACACCTTTTAAGCATGCCACAAACTTACATTACCTCTAGATAAATGGATTCTATATGGATTCTAGGTTATACTGCATTGGGTACAAGTCATTTCAAATTGCCAGAGGAACACGCCTAGTGTTATGAATACTTCTTCAGAGGAAAAAGCAGTATAAAGATACTTAGACAGGTAATTGAAATTTGAATGGATAGTAGGTTTATCTTTTTACTTACCAAATAGAAATATACTGCATGCTGCAATCGAGGAAACAACGTCGGTAGCAACTACCAAGACGAACTGTACATGAGGAACCTCTGCAACAACGAACTGTTGATGGGGAACCTCTGCAACAAGGAATATATTGAAATCTATTAGTATATCGCAGACTGATGGTATTTTGATTAATTTATTTCAAATCCTTAATATAAAACCGAAATGGATATACAGTGAAACCTCGTTTTTCGCGGGGGTTACGTTCCTAAAAGAACCCGTGATAGGCGAAATCCGTGAAGTAGTAACCTTTATTTTTTATACAATTATACAATGAAATACTCGACAATACACTGAAACCAAAGAACAAAACCTTTTTACAGGCTCAAGCATTTGTTTAATAAATAAAAGTACTGTATAAACGTTTTTTGCAAATAACTACTGTACTGTAAAATAATAATTTGAATCATCAATACGAACAGAAGGCTTCATGGGTTTTAGAGAAAATCTGCAAACTTAACTTTGGCAAACTGTTTTACGTACATGTACATATCAAACCGTAACGTTATTGACACAGGTAGAGAAGAAGCGGAGAGACTGTTTAGCCAATCAGAATTCAGAACAATGCACAATGCAAATCCGTGAAGCAGCGAGAACGTGAAAGGTGGACCACGTTATAGCGAGGGTTCACTGAAGGCATTATGCAGGTTATTCTACCATTTATGTCAGGTTATATACATCTGCCGAACAAGTTAATGTCTCGACACACGAGTATTCAGACAGTCAAAAATCTATTGGATAAAACCAATCACATACATGCATTAAAAAAGGAATTCATACTTTCCATAAAGTATAAATAGAATATAATAATACACAACACACAGGCCGTATTTAACATAATTAACACAAGGCTGTATTTACATATATTCATAACAAAAACACCTTTATAATCACTATACATAAAATCATACACACCGACAAAACATATGCAACACAATCATATACTTTACATTCACAACAGTAAATCACATACACACATTTACCCTGTACAGACAATTACACTAAGATTTATCTTTACCTATATTTTATATAGATAAATAATATCAGGTTCAGGTGCACGCATGCATACATATATACATACAAATATACAGATTTTATAAAATAAAAAATGGTAACTATTAAAAATACTCACTGGACATTGATGTTGATAAAGTAGATGAATCTGCTGCATTAGACCTGAAAAAACGTCAGGCTTAACCATAACGCCTCGTTTTCAATTCTATTTAGCAACTGTGCGATGGTAAACTCCGCCCCCTTGGGAACTATAATGCTGATAAATCAAGTAGTGTTGAGGTTTTGTGTTGTTACTTCCATCGTTGTTTGGTCCCATCATACTCGACAGAAATTAAAGAAAAAAAAAAAACGTGTCAAAATACATCTGTAGTCATAATCAAGGGCTTTTTTTTAGTTGCGACTAAATGACGTCATCCTAATGGATGCCGGATAGAGTTACAAAGATGTATAATTTCATGTTTTCCTACGGTATATGTAAAGCAAACGAAGCAATCTCAAAATTTGCGCTGTTACTTCATCTAAATCGTTTCATACCATCATTCATCTACATATATTACTTCTTCATTAGAGAAAATAAAGTTTCGCATCTTTTTTTACAGTTTCATTGTCATCCTTGTGTGGATCATAATCAAATGCATTTTTGCTTTAATATATCATATGTGATATATTCATGGTAAGAAAGTCAGACAATGTAATATTTAAACATGTATTTTATTTTAAATAATAAATTATCCTGTTGTTTCTGGCATCTACGGTTTATGACGTCATACCCAACCGACTCCTTCACTGCTACGTCATCGATACGTCATAGGGTACTGGAATAGCAGAAGCTATTACTGGATTGACAGCCCTGAACAACACCCAAAAAGAGAGGTCTTATTTCGCTAACATGACATCGACACATGCTGGTGCTGTAAAAATGGAGCAGGATTCATATAGATATTAAGCCGAACGATATTAGTGATGTTAGTT